GAAAATCAAAATCTTGTAGTGTTTGAAGTAGAAAAGACCAGCTGGCCTTATCATAAGCTTTTTGAAGATCTATTTTCATTATAATTGATCATTTTCTTCCTTGTAGGTTCGTTAGCGTATAGACAACTTCTTGCACTACTAGAATGTTGTCTATAGCACTCCTGCCTGCCAAGAAACTATTCTGAAACGGCCGCACCAATCTTTGAAGAATGGGTTTCATACGTTGAACTAGGGTCTTCGATAAGATCTTATAAGAAGTATTAAAGAGGCTGATCGGGCGAAATAAAGTAATCCTGTCTGCTGCGTTAACTTTCGGGATAAGCACTAAATATACTTTCATCGTCTCTGCATCAACGGATCCAGATGTGAGAGTAGAATTTACGTAACCAACACTACAGCAAAACTGTTCTTTAGTGGCGTTTTTAGCGGCGTTTTGAGAGTAAACGCCACTAACTTTAAACATATAGCAGCGTTTTTAGCGGCGTTTTGAGAGTAAACGCCACCTAGATAAAGAGAATTCTTGTGTTTGATGAAATGTCTAGTTGTATGAAACCGAATCTCCACGTAATCATCATTCTGTAAGTATAAATTTGAATTTTGAAGTTCATAATTGTTCCAATGATGGTTTCCAAGCGGCTCTCAAGAGTTGGAAGAGATTCCTTCCTCTAAAACTTTTACTTCCCTGTAATTGTTTTGGAAACGCATGCATTGTAATTGCAGTCTATTTTTTAGTTTGCTCGTTTTATTTCTGAGCAAGAAACACTCTTCATTGTTTTTGTTAGAATTGGATGATTGTTTGTGTTCTCTCTTTAACATTTCTTTGTACAAATTATAAACTATGCATGTTAAAGTGATATTTGCTTTCCAAACAATTTGTTGATACAGGTACCACCTGCTGGATTTTCGAGATCTGAACCTAACTTTTTCCTGCATGAAAATTGAGAAACAAAGACTCTGCTAGTTAAATTGGTAAAAATGTCGTCAGTAAGCAAGGTTGATAGGAAAGCAGCTCTAGATATGGCCTCCTGGTTTTTCAACGTTGTCACATCTGTGGGTATAATAATGGTCAATAAAGCCTTGATGGCTACCTATGGCTTCAGTTTTGGTATGTTTTCAGTGAGCATTTACATGCAAACATTGATTAACTTTGCTTTTGCACATAGTCTTGTTCATTGCGCTTGCATATAGATTTGGTATCTAATGGATCAATTACTTCTATGCTCATTATGTTTCTATGTAGCCTTCTTGTTCTATGGTCCAACTCCATATGATCAACCTAAAGGAGAAAAACAGGGTAGCAAGACTAATTGTTGACTATCTCAAACTTTAGGAATAATCCATCTCCTAAGATCGCTCCCATAAACTAAAACAAAGCTTCCTCTTACACCTTGGTTTTTTTCTTGGATGCAAACAGATTTACGCCTGTTAGTTTTGTTAAACAATGCTCATTTTCCTTTTTTTTACTTTATATCTTTAAGGAGATAACTAGGTAGGATAGCTATTTAAGATTGTCTTTTCTTAATTTCCCCCAAAACCCAAAAAACTAAGGGTTCTAGAGTTTTACTTGTTTTCATTTTTTCACATTGATCTTATTTAAAGTTGAGATGAAAAATTAAAAATTCTTTCCAATTGAAGCAAACCTAACTTTTTCAAATGCCTAGTAACTCTTATAAACAATAAAATAATGTTAGAGATAGAATTTATGTAGAGGAGTATAATATGATTTGTTATGACTATGTTAGTTCTGATGGTGCAAGTCAAAAGTTAACAATATTCACCTAAGAAATACTTTGATTTTGTGTCCCATTTGTTACTGTGCCGCAGCTACAATTAAGTTGTAAGATTTCATATAGTAATTTCAACTAATGTTATGATTGAACAAGGTTCTCTAAGTATTTGTCATGGACTGATCCATTCCATAAATGAAGCACCGACCATTCCTTGATCTTGTACTTGGATTGATATTTTGGCTCCTTTTTTGTTTTTTAATTTTATTTATCATTTTGCGGTATGTACATTATCTTCAATGCAAGCATTCTTCAGGATCTTTTGATTTATTGGGACATACTGCTCCGGTACAAGTTGCAATCATGTTGCTTTTTGGTCCTTTTGTGGACTACTGGTTAACAGAGAAAAAGGTTTATGCCTATAACTACACTGCCATATCTATGGTACGGTTCTTATCAGAGTTTACTAGAATATAGTTGGTTATGATACATCATTTTAACTTAAGTTGTATTGATATTTTATCAGAAATACTTCATTTGTATCGAGCGTACTGAGAGCTGACTTCCATCCTTGCATTTGGTCATATAACTAGGATTAATGATTAAGAAAACATGGAAGATTTAACCATCATACTTACTTTTAATATTGTCCTGTATTGTTTTTGTAACTGGAGAACCATGAACATGAACTCTACATTCTTAAGCTCATGTGCTAGTGCAAGTTGACATATGGATTATTAATATATTTTGCATGCAGGTAATTATGACTGCTGTAAATAATATGTGATACTCTCTTCTTGCAGTTTTTCATAACCCTGTCTTGCACCATTACCGTGGGGACGACCAACCTCAGCCAGTTTATCTGCATCGGCAGGTTTACGGCCGTATCGTTCCAAGTGCTTGGCCATATGAAGACTATTCTCGTCCTGGTTTTAGGTTTCATTTTCTTTGGTAAAGAAGGTCTCAATCTACATGTAATTCTGGGTATGGTTGGAAGTGGAGTGTCATTTTTTAATTTCCATTGCCTTTATTAAAAATTTCTTATTGGATTATTGCAATGAAGAACAATGTCAAACTACATTATTTTGTTGTTAGTATTTTTCTTTGGTAAAGAAGGTCTCAATCTACATGTAATTCTGGGTATGGTTGGAAGTGGAGTGTCATTTTTTAATTTCCTTGGGCTGGTTTTAGCGGCGCTTCCTGCGGCGTTTTTCCTTTCGCCGCAAGTAATTTTGATTTATTTTTCTACATAATTTGTGTCGTAATTAAATTTTATGTTTATTGTTATTAGATAATGCTATAGAATATTAAATTTACGTAATATAAAATAGAAAATGATATATGCGAAATCAGATAACCATAGCGGCGTTTGTAAATAAAAGTCACCAGAAGTCAGGTTCTTTTGCGGCGTTTTGTGAAGAAAATGCCACTATATACATAGTTATTAGCGACGTTTTTTACCATAAACGCCGCTAAATATCATAACATGTAGCGGCGTTTTCGATAAAAACGCCGCTAAATCTCAACGCTTATTGCGGCGCTTGTTTAAAAACGCCGCTAAACAACAACACCTATTGCGACGTTTGTGGGGAAAACGCCGCTACAACAACACCTATTGTGGCGTTTGTAAGCAAAACGCCGCTAAATATCAATACCTACTACGGCATTTTTTCAACAAACGCCGCTATATATCGTCACCTATTGCGGCATTTTTCGTTAACAAACGCCGCGAACTTTAGCGACGCTATTTTCAACGGCGCTTTTTGCGGCGTTTGTCATAACGCCGCATGTGTTTTTAGCGGCGCTTAAAAACGCCGCTATATGTAAAAAAAACGCCGCAAAAAGCCGGTTTTGCTGTAGTGCAAGCAGTGTATCCTTGACAGTCACCCATTTTTCTTATAGAAAATAGGTTGTATACCGTCTGGTCCAGGCACTTTCAGTCCTTTCATGGAGAAAAGGGAAGTACGTATATCCTCAAAAGTTGCTGGTCTTATAAGTTCGACTCTTTCCTCAATGTTGATCGTCGGTTTAAATCTATCATAGGCTTTGTCAAGTTCTTTTACCTCTTTACTAGCGAAAAGGTTCTTGAAGAAGTTTACCACGTGATTTCTAATTAAAACCTTATCCGTGCACCAATCCTCGCCTACATATAAACCTAATGTTCTGTTGTATTTTCTTCGAATCAGTGTTGTCATGTGAAAGAATTTCGTATTTCGTTCCCCTTTCATAATCCAATCAAGTCATGATTTTTGCAGCCACAACACCTCCTCTTGAGTAAGGATCTTTTGGTATTCTTCATTTAATCTTTTTTTCCATATTTTAGATATATGTAGAATTCATGTATTTGTCCGATCGTTCAATGCCTCTTAGACGTTTTAGAAGATCACGTTTCTGTTTGAATATATTTCTGAACGCATTTTCCTTCCACTCTTTAATCTCTCTACTCGTTTCAATCACCGCCTCCACAAGACAGCCCTTTTTTCTACCCCAGGCTGTGCTGAACACTGTCGAAAAATCCTCATGAGTAAGCCAGAAGGCTTCAAATCTGAAGGTCTTTTTTCTTTCTCTATGGAGTAGTCCATATTTTGTGTTAACTAGGATCGGATGATGATCAGAATAAGTTCTCGTCAATTTTATTGTACGAAGATTGGGGAATAGGTTCAGCATATCCAGATTTTGAAGGGCTTTGTTTAACCTTTCTTGCAGTACTATCCGACCATGTTCTTGTCTCACCCATGTAAATTTATTTCCAAGCCAACCTGCATCCATAAGATTATATTTGTCCCACCGTTCCCGAAACATGACAATCCGATCGATGCAATCTGAGTTACTTCCTTCATGTTCCTCAATTGAAGCAAAGTCGTTAAAATCTCCGACCACCAGCCATGGCTTGTTAGTGGAATCTGCAATATTGACCGAGTTCCTCCCAAAGTTCGATTTTCTTATTATGGTGTGATTGGACGTAAGCGAACGAAGTTAGCCATTCTTTTTCCTCATCTTTTAATTTGCAGTGAATAACTTGCTTCGTATTTTTTATTATTTTAATCCCAATCTGGCTTGAATTCCACAGTAAGATCAAACCTCCACGAAGACCTTGTGCCGGATTTTCAAAGTTATTTTCGAACTTTAGTTTTCTTTGGATCTGTTTACCAGTATCTTCTTTCGCCTTTTCCAGTAAGCAAATAATAGCTGGTTTCTCTTCTAGGATTAGTTCCCTCCAATTCCTCAAAAATTCAGAATTTCCAACTCCCCTACAATTCCACGTAATGAGCTTCATTGGGTGATCATATTTTCTACTTGAATTTCCAACGATTGGATATCCATATTCGTGTCCCTCTGATTTGGATTTGTGTGACTTCTTTGTATATCTACTTCTTGTCTAAAAGTTCCATTCTCTGGATCAATAGTCATTACATCTTTTACAGGTGATTTTCCCCATCTTACCGCCTCATTGCCTGTGTTTTCTACATTTCTTTCACTCTGGACTGTTTTAGCCGGTTGGTTTGGTGGCTTACCTCCTTCATTCTTGCTAGCTCTTGATATTATCTTACTTGTGTATGGTGTGTCCCTATTTTTCTCTTGTTCGTGGTCCGTTATCTCTATCTCAGTATTGATTTCCTCTGGATTGGCGTTATTCAGTGCTGCAAATCTATTCCCATGCCGGTTATCTTGTTGTGAGGTCCCTTTATTCTTGCTATTTCGCCGTGTCCCCCTTTGTTTCCTTTGCACCAACATCCATGGACCAAATCTTTCTTTATTGAGATCTTTGCTCAATTCTTTTTTCGCTGGAATGTTTTCTGGTTCCTTAACCTCCTCCTGATTTTGTTGTTCCTCTTGTCGAGGGGGATCCTCCCTTTCTTCCCTCGTCTGAGTATCTTCTGGAGACCTTATCGGACAACCCGAAGCTCTGTGGCCTACCATTCCACATTGAAAACAAATTGCGTGCAAGCCTTCGTATTCCACGTTAAAGATCTTTTTCCCTATACGAACCTTCGATAATAAAGGTTTGTTCAAATCAATCTCGACACAGATTCTTGCGAATTTTCCTCTCGTTGTCCATGCTGTATGGATATCCACCTTTAATGGTGTCCCTATTAATTTCCCAATCTCCACTAAGATCGTTTCGTCGAAATATTCTATAGGGAGCCCTAGTATATGAACCCAAACCGTTGTGAATGAGATATTTGCTTTTGCTGCCACAAATTCGGTCGGCATTTCTAGACAGTAACGTAGTGGTCCATTATCTTCCAAGGTCCTTCCGTCAGTACTTTCAATCTGTCATCCATATTTTGAAACTTTACAGCATAAAATTCATTTCCTAGATCAATGCTGTCAAATTCACCTTCTAACTTCCAGATCGCTTCTAGCCTTGTAACCAACAGTTTGTAAGCTATAGATTTTCCCAAGATCTTGATTATCAGGGTCTTTCTCCTAGGTTGCCTTATCTTTTCTTTTTGATCCGTCAAGATTTTTATTGATGGAATATCGTCATCCGCATCTTCCTCTTCTTCATCGGAGTCTTCCTCCTCCTCGTCCATTCTTGATGACTGTTGGAACGTACCCGCAAACAAAGATGATTCCACCACCGTATCACGCCAGGATCGTGTCGTTGGAAGCGTATCTGTAAGTTCCTTTCCATTCGATGATCTGCTTCGTTTACTTCCTTTCCCTATCTCTTCTTTTTCCTCCGCCATTTGTGTCACCATGGTGACCGGCGGGCTGTTCGCTTGCATTGGCACTGATAAACTCTTCAAGGTTTATTCCAAGATTCTTTATTGGTCTTTTGTTCGTATAATAATAATTCATTATGGACATTTGCCATTTCGGTCCCATCAGCAGTTCGAGTAGTATGATACAAGAGGTTTAATGAGTTGAGTAATTTGTGAGTTCCTTCAACTCAACTCCATAAGTACTTAATCTTTTTTATAAGATTTTAGTAATTATTTTAGAAAATTATTCCATTAAAAAATCTAATTAATAATTACTAGTTTATTAATTTGTTAATAATATAATAAGAAAAATATTAAATTATTAATTAATAATTACTACTAAATTTTTAATAAACAACAATAAAGATACTAAATTGTTAATTAATAATTATTAATTTACTAATTTATCAATTTATATTTATATTAAGCTCTATGTAGCAAGAGTGAATGTATGTATTGCTCAGGGTGGGCACGTGGTTATCTTAAAATCCGAATTTTTTTATGTTAGTTGTTTATTTTATTGAATGTGCCTAGTCTGAAATTTTATTTGTTTTTGTCTTATACGGATTTTTTTCAATACATATGTGTCCACCTTAAAAAATATTTATAGATATGCTACTGGATGTATATAGCTCTATAGAAGAGTAATTGCACACCCATTATTTTAGGGGGGAAATGTTAAATTTAGTTTAATTTGTTAATGGGAATGAAAAGAATAAGAAAAATTGCATACCTAAATTTTTTAAAATAGAAAATTAAAATTTTGAATACATTTTTTAACTTTTAGATCCATCACTAATAGGTAGTATCTCTAGATTTTACATATAGTTAAAAAATAAGTAAAATTTTTAATAAACTTAACAAGTAACGAATTAAGTAAAACCATAATTGTTTTTTAAAAAAACAAACACAAATTAAATACTATTATACTCACGACTTACTCGCTGGATAAACACATGTGACATGGTATGCGTGAAGCTAATATTTTTGTTGGGTAAACAGACAAACGATTTGACGGGAGATGCGGAGTATTTTGATCATGCAACATCTGAGAATAATTACCACAACGGATGCCTTTAATATAATTAAGATGAATATACGATTAAAATAAAAGGATGTAACGTTCGAGACTTCAAAAGAGGTGGGTTCATGGTAATTACCACACCGGATAACGCAACTAATTATAATTTGATACGTACAAAATTTTATGTGGGCAAGTTATATTGGAGATCACTTTAATTTGATTTTATTTTAATTATTCGAGTTTTAATTACGTTCTAATCATTTATATTATGATCAATTATAATTTAGTCATTAAGACACCAATTTTGGTTATACTAATGATACAATATGTTAATAAAAATAATATTTTTATTGATAAAAATAATTTATTTCTTTTTAAAGATTTGATTATTAAATTTAATTAAAAATGGATCTAAATTTATATAAATAATGAGGATTACAATTATCTTTATGTATTATTTTTCTGAAGACATAGACTAATCCACAATGTTCTAAATTAAGTTACTAGAATAACAATGGTTATTTTTGTAAGAGGTAAGTCTAAAGGTTCACCATCAAAAGTTGATTGAACCATTTAGAAAATTGAAGATCTTTTATGTTACAAATATTACGGTCCAAGTATTACTTTAACTAAAATTAATAATTATATTATTAACTATATATATATATATATATATATATATATGTATGTATGTATGTAAGACTTGCTTAACTATAGAACTAGAATAATCTTGAACTGAATGAATAAACATATTTGGTTAGCTTATCAAATTGTTCATCTTTATTCATCTATATTTTTTTTAAGTTATGGGTTCTAAATCCACTATGAGCACTCTACTCCCTTCCCCTAGAGTTCCCATTCTCATATCCTCTAGATAAGATTAAGATTAGATGTAGAATTTATCAACAACAAAAAATACTCTCGATCTTGAACTCATTAAGTGGCCTTAGTGGTTAAGGGAGTGTTGTTCTCCCTAAATATAATAGGTTCGAACAATTACATCTACATGATGTGTGTGCGTTGTTGGTGGTTAAGAAAGATTTTGAAAAAATACTACCTTATAATTACATTAGACTATTAACAAAAGAAATACTATGTATCTTTATACTTCACAAAATCATAATAATTTTTTATAAATATTAATATTTTATCTATTGATTAACTAAGTGTTGTAGAAATTTATTAGGGTAAATTATATAAACATTCCCTGAACTTTTAGGGCTCTTACATTTTGGTCACCTAACTTTTGAAACTTACAATACAATCATCGAATTTTTAGTTTGTTTTTAGTAAGGTCTCTGTCGATACCTCATGTTAGTTTTTACTGACGTGGCACCTAAATCTGTGAATCCCCGTTAATCCCTCTCTTCTTCTTCAGGTGCGCTTTCTCTCTCTACGATCAGATCATTCTCATCGATAATGTCCCAGATGACCAGCTTCGTTTCCAACGGTTTTCCTTTTTTTCTCCATCACTCATTTCCATTTTTTTTATTCCTTTTCTCCAACACTGCTCTTAATGTTTCTTAAATCTTTCTGAATGACAGATACACGGAAACCGGATTCACTGTCAACGGCGTCAACTATGAAGGCAGGTTGCTTTGTGTGGGAAATTTGGTCACTTCTTGGGGCCCTCGTAATATTTCTGAAAGGTATTTGCTCCCTTCATTCTAACTTCATTTCTTAGTGCAATGTATTGATTATGCATAAGTTTCAGGTGGCTTGGGTAACTAATATTTCTCCCCTCTCCTATCTAACAACTAAATTTTGAAACTTTAGGGATTCCTCTTGTCTCACGTTTTGTCTTTGTTGTATTTTTTGCAGTTTATCCGTCTTTCAAATCATATGTCCCATTCCAGGTGAGGCTTCAAACAATTTATACAGGAAGAGCAAACTTAATGCCTGATAAATGGTATCAATAATGCATCCCCTTAGGTCAATCATCTTGTGGACCTAATTAAGGTTTTATGGCATTTGAAGGTCGTTCCCAAACTCACCCCACCATTCAACTTAAAGCAAAGTATCATTCATGGCTATGGTGGAAGGAAAGTTCAAATGATTTTACCTTAAAGCTGAGCATCATTCAACTTTTAAAGCCCATCTTACACGGGAATTGGAAGCCCCTCCTCCCTTGGAACTACTAGGACTAGCCGCACCACCACCTTTTGAACTGCAACAAGAAGAAGAAGGGGGGTGGTTTGACGGTATCAGATGCCACATCAGCAAAAACTAACGGACGTAACGGCAAAATCTAACGGAGGGACCTTATTGAAAATGAACTAAAAGTTCAATGATTGTATTGTAAGTTTCAAAAGTTGAGTGACCAAAATACAAGCACCCTAAAAGTTCCATCCATAATATCAGAATTTGAATTTTAAACATTACAAGAATAACCTAACTCCTCTTCATGTGTCACTAAACCAACTAATAATTTAATATTTAAACATAATATTTATATTGATGTATTAATGTTATAATATTCAATGTTTTTAATACATATAATTTTGTATAAAGAACCTAACTCCTCATATTGCTTTTCTCTAAACTTTTTTTATTTTTATGTACGTTCTTGTCAATTTAAATTTAAATTACAAGTCAGGTCCTCTAATTTTGCAGGACTTACAAAAATGTCTTTTATGGCATAAAATGAGAAAAGTTGATAACTTTGGGGGGACTAAACATATATTAACCCTTAAAAGGAAATATCGATGTTCTTTTCGGCGGAAAGAAAATATCTCTGTCAAAAAAGAAAAGGAAAATATCAAAATATCTCTCTTTAAGCAAGGATAAACAAAAATAGTAGCAAAGAGAAAGCTAAGAAATCAACAATGATTGCCAGTGGAGTTCCAATTTACGAACTCTCAGTCCCAAGAGGTTGTAATTTTGATGTCAAATTCAATCCAACCAAGTCAAATCCAAGGTAAGAATTCCATGAAAATGTTTCCAAATTTTACGTAAACTTGTTTGAAGATTTACGATTGATTTCTTTGATTTTTTTTATTTTTTTTGGGTGCAGATTGGGGCTGAAATCGAGTGAGATTAGATGCTGTAAAAACCAAAAGATTGGTGAGAAATCGAAATCAAAATCAGAGAAGAATTACTATGAGTTATTTGGAATTCCTTTTGATTTTAATAAGCAGCAGATTAAAGAAGCTTATAGGAAGCTGCAAAAGAAGTATCATCCTGATATTGCAGGCCAATAGGTCAGTTCTGTTCATCTCCATTTCTTTATTGCAATTTTCCGTTATATGTACAATGCTAGATTTCTTGATCCGAATTCCATTTGTCCAGTTCGAAAAATTTGCTGTTGAATAATTATTTTGGGTGATAAATAGGTGCATAGTATTATTAATTTGCCGTTTCTTATCAGTATTTTGTTCAATTTCGTAATAAATAGTTGATATTATCTGAAGTTTTCATCCTTTTAAATATGTTTATTCAAAAACTATTTGGTTATGATTACTTAGGTTCAAGTATTCAGTACTCATTTCAAATCCGAATGACATATGTTTAGACTTTAGACATGGTTATAAAAACTTGATCGGTCGGTTCAATCGGTTAAAATAAAAATTTAGTAGTTTAGTGACACGAGTATGTAAGTTGAAATATATGTAGAGAACCGCCCACAACTGATTTCAACCGGTTCGAACTTCCGATTTGGATTTTTCGACCATTGCCTAAGTGTTTGGAATTAATGCAAATTCACTTTTGTATCTTTTATGGGTCAGTTGTTTTGTTATATTTGTTTAGGCATGGATACACTCTAATGCTGAATGAAGCGTATAACGTGCTGATACAAGATGATCTAAGGAAAAAGTTCGACACTTCCATTGGTTCAATGAAAGCAAAATTTGGCTGCAGTGCATCCGGTTTTAGCTCTTGGCATGGGCCAGTGAGACCCCAAACTTTGTTTGTTGATGCAAACGCCTGCATAGGTTGTAGAGAATGTGTTCACCACGCGAGCAACACGTTCGAGATGGACGAAGCTCTCAGATGTGCTCGAGTTAAGGTGCAATACAGAGACAGCGACCGTAAAATCGATGTAAAAGAAATACGACCGTTGATGCCGTTTAGGATCAAAGTGTTCGTTCATATGATTTCTCTTAACTGCTTGTTTTGCAGATTTCGGTCGAATCGTGCCGGATGAACTACATTTGTAGACACCCATTTTTGTCTGGGTTTTACTTATTTATTAACTATTATTATTATTATTATTATTATTATTAACAATATTTATTTACATTTTGTAGGCCCAATGCATTACAAACTCAAAGCCATCTAGCTGCTAGTCCAACAACAAATATTCAGGACCCGGTTATAGTTGACCCAACCCAGTTCAGGCCCAACACTCAACCCAGACCTGTTAGGGTTTCCACTTAGCTCTAGCCACATTTATTCCCAACCGTTGGATCTGGACCCATCCAACGGTCCAGATTGTCCAGAGTTAGGGTTTTTAACCCAAATATCAAGCCAACTGCCGCCATCAACGATGAGCAGCCACCCAGACCGACGCGTAAACCTCACAATTTATCTTATGGCTTCCTCAGCCGCCGTCATCAGAACGTGCCAAACAGTGAACCAAACACACCAAATCAGTGAGAATATGAACACCTATTTTTAAATGTCAATAAATCCGAAAAATCGAGATTTTTACCAACTCAAGTCAAAAAAAGCATTCCCCTATTCTAGATGTAATCATCTCACCCAGGAAATCAACAGAGATAAGATACCAATAGATTTAAGAAGGAAATTCATTCGGAGGAAAAAAAAAACCAGGAGAGACCAGATTCAAAAAAAAATAGAAAAGAAAAAACAAAGAAGAAAAAAAGTTTACCCTTAGCAAGATTCGGCCACCGTTGCTTCGCCGGAGCAACAATACTCCGTTTTCGAAGGTAAAACTCTTGCCTTTAGGGGTTTTGGGTTTAGATTTTAGGTTTTTAAGGGGGGAAAGCTTAAGGTTTAAAACTCTAGGGCGGACGAGGGATAGAGAGGAGATTCGAGTTTGGTTCACTCACCCTCACCGTCGATTTACGACGGTTATGGCTCTCTTTTCTCTCTTTACGCGGATAAAACCAGGGAAGGGGGAGAGAGTTTTGGCTCTTATATTTTGAGGTTGGGAATAAATGAGAAAATGGTCGATTTAGGGTTTATTTTCAAACATTTATTCCTTGCATGAAACGACGTCATTCTGGGGGGTTCAGCGTGTTTTTAGCGCATGGTTTAATAGCATGTTTGGTCCTTTGCCCTTTGTAACGTTTTATTTCAACTATTAATGAAGTTTTATTTTCTTTTAATTTCACCTGCTATTTATGCTTTATTTCCTTTTTAGTCATTACTTCACTTTATCAAATTAGTACTAACTTTTGATTATTTACCTTTAATTTATATGATATTCATTTTGGTCATTATCTTTGTTGTAGGTAAAATATTAAGTTATGCATGTTTGTTTTCACTGCATTCCATTCTGGTCATTTGCCTTGTTGCATGAATATGGTAATCCGTGCTCTAGGTCCTTAAGGCTAGCCTTTTTTTCATTTTAGTCACTAATTTTTGGGTAAATCCCTACATAGTCCCTTTAAGTTAGGTGCACTTTTACACTTATATCACTGTGTCGTGGGTTATTTAACCATAGGTCCCCCAACCTTTGATGTTATTATGTTTGAGTCATTGGGTGCTTCATTTCAACATTATCTTTGTTTTAAATATATTGTTTCTAATTTATTCTGATTTGGTCAACATTTGAAATGTCCTTTATTTAAATTTAGTCATTGATTTTTTTATTTCTTCATTTTAGCCACTAATGATTTTTTTTTGTTCTTTGTTTTGAACTTGTTATTTGTGACTTATTTTGTTTTAGTCCTTGTTGGTCTAGCTAATCAATTTATGTTTTATTTGTCTTTCATATGTATGCATATATTATTATACATGTTGTTTCCATATGTGTATATAGTTTTTCAAACGTGTACATGTGTACGCATTTTATGTATTATATAATTTAATTCCTATAAAATATCTTTGATTGTTAAGATTTTTCATTCGTGTATTTTTAAAGAGTATCAATCGTAGAATGGGCGTGCTAAACATTGCTTGGTCGATGTAGTGCGATCTGATACGATGTTCGAAAGAAATATGAACTTGAAATAAATTGAGTTTATTTTGCAAATTAATTTATTTTAATTCAAACGATGCAATGCATGTTTTTATAGAGTTATTTTATACTCGATTAATATTTGATTTGAGTTTTTTGATAACATTGGGGAGGGGGAATATTTCTCGTATAAAGGAGAAATAGACGAGATAACCTTCTCATTGGAGGATGAGCAAATCTCGTGGTTTCTTCTCAAATTAAGGAATGTTCCCTAATAAGTAATTTGAAACAAACTAATTAATGTTCAATAAATATATCATATTTTAGCTTTATATTCGATTTATAATTTCCACTATCGCGACAATATATAAGCTACTTAGTACCAATTTTGGGCGATGTGGGGTGTTAATCATTCCCCACGCGTAATCGACTCCGAACCCGTTAAATCGGATTTTTGGTAAACACATACAAATTTTTGTCTTAAAAAATGATTATTCTTAAAAATTGTTTTAGAACACGTTTTAGGTATTCGACCTACCTAGCCCAAAGGTCGATGGTGACTCCTATTCAATTTAATTCAAATTTATTCAAAATCGCCAATTTTTCAAAAATAAAGTCATAATTATTTTTAAACGTAATTGTTTAAAAAATGGTTATGGCAGCTTGGCAACTCCTCTGGGGACTTTTTTAGAGAGTCGGGCTGTAAGTCGCTTACACATTGTCGTTGTGGTGGAAATTACGAGTTTGAGTCCATAGTTAGCTTATGATCCATCTATTGAAGTTTTTAATTTCTTCATTCTTAATCGTGATACTAATATTTTAATCTTTGTTTTCAGTAGTGTTCAAGTTTCTATTGAGAGTTTTCTTTTTTCTTTAGAGTCAAAGGTTTGTATGTTTCTCCTCACACACGTCACATGCTTTTGCATGAAATAAGCTCTAGACCCGATCTTTATTCCAAGTAAGTGGGGTAAACACTTTACTTTCATAAGAATTTATTCTTCGTATGAGTTTTAGCAAATAACCTCTAGGGTACACATACCTTATACCTTCGTAGGAATTTATTCCTCGTATGGGTATAAGGAAGTGAATCCCCTCAAATTGAAGTTGATCCATTAACACCTATAATGGGTTAGGATTGAGGGTTTGGTAGCCCAAGGGGGTACCGGCAACAAGGACAATTCGAGTACCATTTCCTCATAGAGCCGAAACTATAAAATGGTCACCCTAGGTATAGTTATACCGAACCTTTCGTCAATAGGTACCCAAAATAAGTGTACATAAAGGAGAAGTTTTTCTAAACCTTTACCTTTTGCTTTAAATTTTGTTGAATAAAAGTATACGAACAAGATACCATGCAGTTAGGAACAGTTTCTTGAAAACAAATCATTTTGGGTAGATACCATGATCGGGTAGGTATTATATTTATCTTTAAATAGCATCTTTTAACTATATTGATTATTTTGTTTGTACTTACTCGTTTCTTCTCTTTTTTGTGTCATTTTCACCTTTTAGCATTGCATTTCATCGACATGATATAATGCAAAAATGTTGATCCTTAAGGGGATATTTAAGAGAAAAATTTTCATAGGGAGAGGTAAAAGTTTTCAATCAAGTAGTTGCTTACACAGACATGCACTGAGGGCTAAAAGAAGTTCAGAGACTACAAGAAAAAAATATGTTTGAAGAACATGCAACATTCGAGACTGGAAAGATGATCTATTGATCCAAGGAGTAATCCAGCAGTAGAGTCTTATCTAATATCGTTTCATCGCTAACCACCAAAGAGTGACGCACTGACTTCAACACCGTAGGGGCATTAACTGAGTTAGGTTACAGAGTATTTAAGGGCATAATTTTCAAGGATAAAGATCCAAGATGAAGCACCGACCCATTTCAGACTTAGCGTTTAAACGAAAGCATGTCTGTAAAATGGACTATCTTATAATATGAAGACTTTTATCTTTGATGAAAATTATTCTATGATATTCATCATTGGGATCAACATTTTTGCATCTGCATTTGCATCTTTGCATTTTGCACATGCATTCCATTTATTCAAGCATTTTCACATGCATCATTCATGAAAACATGGAATTAATTTATGGAGGATTCGATGAAGTGGTCCTAATTACGTGACACCACGTTAAAAATAGAAGCAAGATTTGAACAAATTAAGGAAGAAGCTGAAATCAATATGGTGAGAGCCTATTCAGCTGGTATTAGGGCTGATCTTCAAGGATGATCCGAGAAAAGAGTCAATTTGATCCAATTCTAATGACCTATGAGGAATTACTTCCAACGCTAGTTGAGAAGAATTGTGTGACTCTCATTCAATCCAAACAAAGAGAGGCCCCATATCCTAAAGACCATGATATTAATGCATATGTAGCTACCATATTGGGAGCTCAATGCACAACACTGAGAATTGTGGGGTATTGAAGTGCAAGGTCTAAGATCTGATTGATTCAGGGGCATGGACATTTGATATGTAATGGGCATTCTGATCAGGAGTAGGTTGTGGCAACCATCAGGAATTTTATTGCATTCTCATCAAAAGCATGTCATCTTATTTGAACTTGTTTTTTTTCTTCATATGTTTAAATGTTTGTTAGTCATTTGACATTCGAACATTTTAAATAAAATACTTTCTTCTAAGGTAATGAGCAATGACCAAATTTTAATCTTGAAATTCTTTGAATATCAACTCAATTAAAAGCTCTTTAATAATTGAGGTTGTAAATCTTTGACAAATGACAAGATTGAACCCATGCAAAACAATAATGTAACATCCCAAAAACAAGGCCAGTGACCAAATTGTAATAATCCAAAATTTAGTGGTTTAATTAGAATAACATGAAAAGTTCAAGGGTATAATTTGGAAATTTTGTTTAGGACTTGATATCAAAGTTGAATTATTGGAAGGGTATTATGGTCTTTTCAAAGGAAATTTTTTTATCTTTCCTCTTTAAGTAATATAAAGAAAGTGGAAAATGGGAGAAAATATTATCCAGAGCCTTCTTCAGCTTTCTTCTTCCTCTCCATCGTGGGTTCTTGGATAAGGTGAGTATGTTTTCTATTGATTGTTTATTTCATTTTAAAGTTGGTTTTGATTCTTGGAGTGTTAAGAAAGCTTAAGGAAAGTTTAAAGTGGTGTAAAACTAAAAGATGAATAAGTTATGGGAGATTAAGAAAAAGGGGTTTTTGAGTGAATTGTTGAGAAAGAGTTAGTAAGTGAATTTAGGAATGAAATTTGACTTGTCATATGTTAGATTAAGAAATCTAAAGTGTTAAA